GGGTAAGAGAGAGAGAGAGAGGGAGGGAGAGAGAAAGGGAGGGAGGAAGGAAAGAAAAAGGAGAGAGAAAGCAAGCAACAGCACTAATGCCCTAATGAAGTGGGGGTGCTAAGTCACAGTTGGGGCAGCTGGCTTTCTCTGATTAAATCTTACTCCCTACCAGATTCCCTCCCAATGGCCAACATTCAGCCCCTGGGCTGCTGGCCCTCCTTACTACCACTCAGACTAGCCCACAGGGCCCACACAGCCCCACCTAAGCCAGCCCAACCAGGTGCCCCAAACCAATTAGGCCCACTGGCCAAATGCTGGGGATTCTGGTTAATCCTCCACTTCTGGGTTTGAAGAAAACCACACAACAGGGAGTGGGCAAGGAAAGGGCTGGAAGATACACCTGGATGTCTAGGAAACTGAGCCAGGGAAAGAGAGCCAGGTGGGGCAAACAGAACTCTCCCTGCTGGGTACTAGGCTGCATCTTCCTTGCCCTGAATGCTGAGGGCAGAACCTGGGATGCAACCACCAGCCCCCGTGCAACTCACTTGGGAGCACAAAACCTGGCTCTCAGCAGAGCGTGGCCCAGGGATCCTCAGAGTAGGGTTTCTAGTCCAGTAGCATCCACACTACCTGGGATCGTGTTAGAAATGCAGATTCTTGACCCCCTCAAATCCACTGAACCAGAGGCTCTGAGGCCAGGGCCCAGCATCTGCACGAGAACATGTCCCCCAAAAGTTGTGACTGGGCACTTCAGGCCGGAGGACCCAGGACCGCACACCCAGGGCTGTCTGGTTGCCATCATGAGGTGTGAGTTCATCAGATGGACTGTGGACCGTGACTGCATGGATGCTGCTCACTTGGTGCTTGGGCCCCACCTTTGGGACCAGCCAGGGCCCCTTCTGTTACTGCCGCACAGCCCTGCGCATCTGGCCTGATGTGGGGCTGACATTCTCAGAAAGCAGAGCCCCCTAGATACCTCCAACCCTGCACATAGGTTATGGGCTACAGAGACAGAGATGCCCAGCACTGTCCTGGAAGGAGGGAAGGGGGGCAGAGAAGGGGGAAGGGCAGCACCTCCCAGCACTCCTGCCTATGCCCTGTACCTTGCATAGGAGGAAGCAACAAAACTGCTGAATGAATAAAAATGGCCTGTGAGGATGTCAAGGGCTCTGAAACCGTGTACAAAGGACTGTGTGTGTCTGCAGGTTCACATGTGCAGCGTGCATTGTGTGTGTAGGCTCACACGTGCATTTTCCTGAGGGGCGTCCCTGAACCTCTTTGAGCAATTATGATAAAAGCCAGGGCAGACAATGTCAGGAACCAATGCCACAGGGGGGAGCAAGCTTTCATCCAGCCCCACCTCTGGATGGTAGGGTATCACCATCCCCATTTTACATGAGGGAAAACTGAGGCACAGAGGTAACATCTTGCCTGGGTTCGTGAAAACAAAAGCAGCCTGACCCAGCCAGCCAAGTTCAGACCCTGGAGCCAGATAGCCTGGATTCAAAGCCAAGTTCTGCAACTTTCTAGTTGTGTGTTCTCAGATAAGTTACTTAATCTCTCTGTGACTCAGTTTCTCATCTATAAAATGGGAGGAATAAGGGAACTGACCTTGTGAGACTTCAGTGAGGGTGGACACATCAGTGTGTGTAAGGAGATCAGTACGGCACGTGGCATGTGACATGTGATGCATGGTGTGTGGCTCATAGCATGTGCTTGGATGACTATAAAGATAAGGAGAAAGGAGCTGGCAGCAGAGCGAGGTTTACTCAGGCCGGTGTAACCCCACTGTCATTGCCAGCACCCAGGGGCCACATCTGGCTGCCAGGATTCTCTTGTCCTCTCCTAGGACAAGCCCTAGTCCTGAAAGGGGCTTTTCAGCTTCCCAGGGTCTGGTCAATCAACCCAGAGTAGCAGGCAGGGCTGGCGGTTACGCAGGAGTGGTCCAGAAGGGTTTTTTTGAGTTGGAGTCTCACTCTGTTGCCCAGACTGGAGTGCAGTGGCCATTCCCGGCCACCGCAGCCTCGACCTGCTGGGCTCCAGCAATCTTTCCACCTCAGCCTTCCGAGTAGCCAGAATTACAGGCATGCGCTACCATGCCCAGCTGATTTTTTTATTTATTGTAGAGATGAGGTCTCGCCAAGTTGCCCAGGAGGGTCTCAAACCCACGGGCTCAGGCAATCCACTCACCTCAGCCTCCCAAAGGCGCAGGATTACAGACTGAGCCACCAAGACCGGCATCCCAGAAGGTTTTAAACCACCATTCCCATCAGTGAGACCTGGCCTCCTGCACAGCCAGGACACATCGCCCTTCTGCCCACTCACAGTGTCCCACAAGCTCTCCCACTACCACCCACAGAACTGGAAATGGACGTGCTCTCCCGCTCTTGGACCCCACATGGACACCAGACTCCTTCATTACTGCCCAAGTCCATGTGGTGCCCTGAGCTGGACAACCACTCTCACTCGCCTGCTGAGGCGGTGAGCCCCAAGTCCCACCCACCCCTGAGATAGCAGCAGCAGAGCCTCAGTCCTGACCAGGAGAAATGCCATCCTGCTCAGCCCCCGCCTGCTCCTGAGAAACAGCCTCTTGGGGTTTGCTCTGGAGGAGTCTTTATTTTTCCTGCGAAACCATCGCTATGGAACGCGTTTGTGGGAGCATTTTTCATTCGTTCCTGTAATGCAATTAGAATTGAGTTTCTCTGGCACTCGGGGAGACCTTCCAACAGCAGGAAAATTGTCATGTCATTCTCAGTACTCCCCTTGCCCAGACTTCTCTGCGAGAGAGAACACCAGCAGGGAGGGTCCCTCTCCACACGAGAGGTGGGAGACCAACACGGAAGCTCTTCCCAGTCACTAAATGGGTCCTCCCACCCTCCCCAACATGCCTCCTGTGGTCCAGAGACCTCTAGCACCCAATGAAAGCCCACCCAGGCCCATCTCACTGGTCAGAGGTGAGCAGAGAAAGAGCCCTGAGGGTCTGACAGGCCCTGCAACTGCTGGCCCCGAGAAGTGAAATGACCCACCCAGGCCACACTTGGGGAACCCCGTACCGAAGGCTCCAGCTCCCAGGTGCCCCCCACTACCCTGTACTGCCTCTCTCAGAGCCTGCAGCTGCCCAGCAACCCAGCCCTCATCTTTCTGGGAAACATGAGGCTTCCACTAGCTGCCCGAAACAAACAGGGAGGGAGGCCACGTTGAACCTTCATGCATCTGCCTCTTCTCCCGTGTCCCTCTCGCTGGGACTGTCTCGCCCTGGCACCCTCCTCTTGGATGCTGTGGTGTTGGCACCCTGCCTGCCTCCCTCCCAGCCTCCCTGCCTCCTTCCCCACTTCCTCCCCCCACATGCCCTCCATCTCTCCCTCCATCCAACAAAGCCCCCTGAGCACCTGCTCTGGTCTCGCCCTGGCAGGGCACTGGGCATTGCTTCTCCTTGCTCCTCAGAGTACTCCCCAAAAGGCTCCACATCTCCCACCCTGTTGAATTCCAGGATTGACCCTTCCATCCACCCTGTAAGGAGGCTGATGTGGTGGCCAAGTCCCAGTCAACATGTTCCTCCTGGGCAGGGCAGTGTCAGGGCCTCCCGAGCCCTTCAGTGGGACCTGCTGCCCAGGGCCCCGGTCACCAGCCCTGCCTCCCCTCCCAGCCAGTCATGGCCCCTACGTACGTATGCAGATGTCTCCATCCTCATAGTAGCCGGGGCAGCACTGCGACCTCCGTCGGTACATGGTGCGGAGGCCCCTCCGATAGGCCGTCTTATAGCTGATCCTAGGCACAAAGGGGAAAGTCGCTTGAAGGTGGAAATCAATCCAGCAGCTCAGAATGATATTTGTGCTCACTTCACCCAGGATGCCATTCAGTAATGACTTTAAAATGCATGGCAGCCTCAAATACAAAGGAATACAGAGAAGGATTGATGGGGATCAGGCTGCGTGACGCAGCACAAATGTCCAACTCAGGATCGCCAGACCCGTGGACTCCCTGATTGCCTCGAGACATCTGCAGAGACGCCTCTGGGTGACACTGTGGAGGGTGTCATGAGCTGTTCCCTGTTTCCTCTACCCCCCAAGTCCAGGTTGGAGCAGCATGGGTGACCCCGCCAGGCAGGCTCTGGAGTCCCATGACTGTGCTCACTCTGACAAGCCAGATCCCTCCAATCCCAAGAGCCTGGGCTGGAGCAGTGGAGGTTCAGCCCCTCAGAGAATTGAGCTGAGTCAGCAAAGGCCCCTCTGAGACTCCTTGATCCCAGAGAACACACAACTCTCTCCCAAGAGGAGCATGGCACACCATCCCAGGAGGCCCAGGTCCACCTGGCTCTGTGAGGAAGAAGCTGGGCCCACAGAGCACAGCACTCTAAATAGAGTCAAACTCTGGTTCCAGTCCTTATACCAATACAAATGCTCAGGTCTGGCCCGTGCCAGAGAGATGCTGGGAGAGACCCCTTTAGCCCCCAGAGGCAGGGCTGCCACGTCCCTTTATTCTTTTCTCTAGAAGCACTCACCCCATCTCACATTACCCCACTCCCACCTTCTGTTTTAGGATGAGAGAAGCTAGCAGGGATCACACATGTCAGAGCCAGATTCAAACCCCCCTCCTGATCTCAAAGCTGCTGGGCTTGACCACTGCCAGTGTCCACCCTTCCAGGGTGGCTTTCAGGGTTACAGATGGCCACCGTGAAGGAGGGAAACAAGGGAACTGGGATGGGGTAAAGGCTAGGTCCTCAGGAAGGATCAAGTGGAGTATCTGGAGGCAAAGGCCCATTCTCATAGAATCAAAGTGGAGATGAAGTGGCCTGAGAGACCAGAGACAGAACATGACCACTCTAAGTCACAGAGAGGAGACCAGAGAGTAGGTGACCACCTCAGGTCACAGAGAGGAGACCCAAGAGAGCATATGACTGCCCCAGGTCACGAAGTAGAGACCAGAGAGAGCACATGACCACCCCAGGTCACAGAGAAGAGATCACAGAAAGCACGTGACCACTCCAGGTCACACAGAGGAGACCAGAGAGAACATGTGACCACCCCAGGTCAGAGTAGAGACCAGAGTAAGCATGTGACTGCCCAGGTGACAGTGTAGAGACCGAGAGAGCACGTGACCACCCCAGGTTACAGAGAGGACACCCAAGAGAGCACGAGATCACTCCAGGTCCCAGAGAGGAGACCTGAGAGAGCACGTGACCACCCCAGGTCACAGAGTGGAGACCAGAGTGAGCAGGTGACCGCCCCAGGTCACAGAGAGGAGTTCAGAGAGTACGTGACCGTCTCAGGTCACGGATTGTGACCCATCAACTCCAGGTCCTCAGGCCTTGAGACTGGAGCTCTCTCCTCTTTCCCTCAACACCCCAGGGGGCCTGCCATGGACCATGCGCAGCAGGAGAGTGGCAGGCATGGCCGTAGAGACACCGAGGGCCTGCCTCCCATGGAGGCCTGGGAAGTGAGCCCCCGAGCCCGGCTGTGGCAGTCCTCCCAGTCTTTACAGCCTCGCTTCATGATAAACGACAGCCAAGGCTCTGGGGAAATCTGTGATATTTGGGAATGTCGCATGCTAAGGTCATTCCACTTTGTCAAAAACCCATAATAGAAACAAAGCTGGCTGGAAGCGAGCTGCATCCCAGCACAGGAAGAGGATCCCTGGCAGCTTCCGGGGTGTGCAAGCCCCTTGGATGAAGAATAATTTGGAGCCGAAGCGAGGTCATCAGTCATCCTCCCACCACACAGGACGCCCAGGGCCTCCAATGCAGGTGTCAGGACCACGCAAGCCTCTTGGGAGGGAGCTGCACCTGCATTTCTGGCCCCAGTCATTTCTGTCCCATGCAGGGTGGGTGGTGGGGAGGCGTGCAGGCTGCCACAGGAAAAAGACCTGGATAGAGCGGCCTCTCCACACCACAGCCGCTGATGGTGTGGCTGTCGACATGCATATCTGGGCATCAGGAAAGCAGGCAGCTGGATACTTCAGTAGAGTAACTCATGTTCCAAGACTGCAGGGGTTGCAGAAGCAGCTGCTCACGGCCCAGCCGCGTGGTGATGGCAACAGCAGTGATGGACAGCCCAGCCTTCAAGTGACAACAGGCTGCCACCAGGGCAACCTTGGGGAAGTGCAGGCGGCCACTCCCATCCCCACCTCTGACCAGGGTCACATGCAACCCTTGGAGGCCAGACCAGGGTTTGGAGGGGCACGTGGCCCCCACTTCACAGTTGAGAACTGGGAGGACGTGGGCAAGGCTCAGCAGCTTCCATGGGACCCACCGGTCTGCAAGTAGCTACTGTGAAATCTGGGGAAACACAAGAGCCCCACCTCAGGCCCAGAGAGAGGACAAGTGGGCAAATACAGGAGGAGACCCAACGTCAGGGGAAGAAGCAGCTTGAGCACGTCAGCCCAAAATGTTGGGTGAGCACAGCTCAGAGAGGGACACAGCATAGCAGGCATGGTAAGCCACAGGATAAGGCCAGGGTGGCCAGAGGTGGTAAGTCAAAGCAGTCTCATGATAGAGAAGCCACGGAGAGGGAGCTCGAGTCCTCAGTAAAGCCCCTGCCCAAGCATCTGGCCCCAATCCACGTCTGCAGAGGGTAGAGTCCAAGTAGTCCAGTGAGGGCTAAAAACACCAAATTTCCAGCATCTGGCATCTGAGTCTAGCCGAGTGCATTGTCTGCCAATACAGCAGCCACGGATCAAGCCCCTGGAAAAGCACAGCAGAGTCCGGGCTCCACAACACGGCACACATGATACTCGGAACATGGTCCAGAGTTACGAAATACAGAAGGAAAAACATGCCACACAAGACCACGTGTGGCCCAAGCACTGGAACCCACAGATGGGACCTCAAGGCTGCAAGGTGGTAGCAAACCTCAGGAAAACCAGAATGTCAACTTCCCGGCTAGAACAGGTCTCCTCACCCACATGGCTGCCCCCTAGGATTCCCAAATCCTCGCCAGAAGAGGCTCACAGGAGGAAGCAAGCAAGAAGCTGGGAAAAACCCACATGCTCACCCCTGGGACAGGGCCCATGCCCTGTCCTCCCTCATGCCCCTCATGGCCCTGTCCTTCCTCTGCTGGCTCTTTGCCCCCATTAATCTTGTCACCCGCATGTGCCTCATACCTGCACTCTTCTCCAGAGTGTTTCCACATGCCTGAACTCCTGGACCCTGCAGGGTGGGTAGGATGAGAAGTATCCAGTGTTTCATGGATACACTGGGACTCTCAACAGAAAGTGGCAAAACTGTCCTTCCTTCCTTCCCATCTTTCCCTCAGAGGCATGAGAACGTATCATGACCCACAGGAGGGCTGCAGAGAAGGGCGTGATGACCATGTGCAGTTGCTCACATTGAGCACTGCTAAGCACAGCCTGGCCAGGTGCAGAGAGGCTCTGGCAGGGTCTACATGTGCTCTGAGGGAGCCCTTAGGTGGGATTTCCCTAGAAGCAGGCCCTGAGACAGGAATTCAAAGATACATTTATAAGCGATGACCCAGGAAGCACTGGTAGGAAAAGCGAGACAGAGGAGAAGGTGGCCAATACAGGGTTTGCCCAGGGTCCACTGCTGGAGATGCTGGGTGCACGCAGAGTGCACCTCGGCATGGTCTCCAAGACCCAAGGACATTTATTTACCCATCAACTCCCATGACCTGTTGCTGGCTGAGGATGACCCAAGGGCACGGATGCTCCAGCACGTCCAGACTGCCCTGCCCACAGCTCTCCTGTGTCGGGTGTCTGGTGTGGAGACACTGTTTGCCCTAGGCCTTCCCACCCTGAGTCATCCAGAGGGTGGTACTTACCGGTGCCTGGTGCACTTGAACCAGTTGAGGATGTCCGTACATCGCGTGTAGTAGATTTGATCAAAGGGGTGTGCGTATGACTCCTGGACGGTCACGGCATAGCTGGGAACCAGAGAAAGACAGGAGTTGGGTCAGCACTTGGGAACTGAGCCAGGTTCAGGATGCAGGCACCTTCCTGGGGCACCCAGCCACAGCCCAGGCCTGGCTGCAACCAAGTGTCCAGAGGCTCTGAGCCTCCTCTCCACCACCCTCCTCCCTCTGGGGCACTCTCAGCCTCCCAACCCCCTGACTCCAGGCTGGGTCCAGGATGCATCCCTTGCTGACATTTAACCCAGCTCATTTTCTAAAGTTCTAGTTCATGCACTCAAGTAATAGAGAATGAATGAAGGAGGGCTCAGGTGTATTGGGTGGCAGAGTCAACCAGCTTAAAAGGACTTCTTATGTTTGCTTGGATCTTTATGGTTTTCAAAGAACACGTACAGAAGCTGATCTGTGTAGCAACATACCCCATATGTGGCCCGATTTTACAGATAAAAAACTCAGAGAGAGGTGGCTTGCCCAGGTCATGCAGCTGGCATTAAAACTGCTCATATCTACTGATGCGTGTTCTAAACTCCTTCAGTCCTCACACACTCCAAGGCTGATGGAACTGTGTGCTCTCTCACAGATGAGGACCTGATCGTCAGGGAGGCCCCATGTTAGGTGCTGTCCACCCTAGCATGGCTGGGGTCCACTGAGGACATGCGCTGGACCCCCTGTGGAAGCAGTAACCGGTGTCCCGCCTGCTGTGTAAACCTGGGCCAGCAGGAGACGTTGCCAGGAGGCCAACTCCAGCTTCCCACCCGTGCAACTGGCAGGATCACTTGGAGGGTGCCCAAACTAGCACTGCACTGACTGGGTAGAGAGAGGCCCTGGGTAGGAGTGCAGTTCACCTGCATGCAGGCAGGTCCTATTCTGTGTCAGTGCAAGAAGCTCATGGACTGCACCAGATGTCAGGCCCAGGTTGCGCAGGCCCAGGGGAGCCACACTGGTTAATTCGTGGGGAGACGGGAGGCCGGCTCGCCAGGCGGACCACCAGCGGCCTCTGAGGCCTGAAAGGTCAAAGGTCCAGAAGGCAGAAAAGGTTCAGAGCCAGCGAGGCTCAGAGGCTGGATGGTGAAAACTCTCTCTCTCTCTGAAGCATAGAGGGCAGGAGATGGAAACTGTCTCTCTGAAGCTTGGAGGACAGGAGGTGGAAATTTTCTCTCTGAAGCATGGAGGACAGGAGGAGGAAACTATCTCTCTGAAGCACAGAAGACAGGAGGGCTTCCATGTGACCCACAACTATACCCAAGCTGAGCCCCAGAGGCCCACAGCCATGCAGACTCAGCCCAACCTCTGCTTTCTCTGCAGTCCCAGGGAAACTGAGGCAGCTTGACCCCAGTTTCCCAAAAGCCTCTTCCAACTTGAAGAGCATGACCCTATGCCCCGACATGTCTCCAGGGAAGTGAAGGGGTGAGCATGCCAGGCTGGGAATCTGAAGCCGGCACTTGGTGGTGGCATGCCCTTTGGTGTCATTTAACTCCTGTAAGCCTCTGTCTCCTTGCCTGTGAATCCATGATGACAATGATCAGGGACTTCACGCAGTTATCATGAGGATCACTCAGGGCAGTGGGAAGATAAATGGGATACTACTGCACATGTGCAGTGCTTGATGGGTAGACAGTAAGCATTTAATAGGAGCTGGCTGTCATTGCCAAGTGACATGCCATGGTTCACTGTCCATGCTGGGCACCAAGGGGTTTTCACCGCTCGGTCAGGGGAGTAAGACCTGCACCCAAAGTGGCCTCCCTTGCTGAGCACTTGGGGCTCAGCTTTCCCTTCCAGCACTGACAGGAGAGCAGAGACTCAAAGCGAAGGCCTAACCAATTGAGAGGCTGGGGGTGCCAAGAATGGACCCGTACCAGCAGCCTGCCCTGGCCTGGGTGAGTGTGGCAAGGAGCACTTGACCAACTCCAGATCTGGACCTGAAGCATGTGCCGGTTCACAGCTTAGCATCTGATATGCTCACTTGCCAGCACACTAACAGAGGCCAGATGAGCCTCCCCGAGCCAGGCTTCCCTAGCCAGGAGGACTGCACGCTGGGTCCTACCAAGGGGGCAAACCAACCAAAAGTCACCCAATGCCTTTCCCAGGGACTGGGAATGGCATGGATCCAGCCATGTGTGACCTGCAGTGGCACTCAGCTGAAAGTGGAAGAGCCCACAGGACCCCAGACTTCATTTTAGCTGCTGGGGTCATACCTTGCCCTCCTATCCAGGCTGTAACCTCGATGGACAGCCCAGCCAGCCCAAAACACCAGTTCGGGTCAGCTAAGTCAGAATGTTTTCACATTCCAGATAATTCATGTTGGCCCAGCTAGAAATGCGGAGAGGTGGTTCAAGTTTGAGTTGATCACTGTACCAATGGGACTCAGAGAAAAAGGACATTGGAGTGGGCCCTGCCGTCAAGGTGGGCTCGCTGGAAGAGGGGTCCTTGGGACAAAGTTGCTGGGGAAGGGGAAGGTGAAGGTGAGCAGGTGGGAAGAAGGCACTCCACAGCCGGGGATGTGGCACAGACAAGGGTGATGACAGGGGTCACCTGAGGCTGTAGTCACAGCTACAGCCCGATGTGACATCCTACCCACAGCCTCTCCAACCCACTGGGAATAAAGGTTTAAGTTCACCAAAACCAGAAGGGGCAGGAGGCCTGAGTCCCCTCAGAACTGCGAGGACAATATGTGAGAAGTGCACATTCAGTATCTCTGGGTACTGGTCGGGACATCTCCACATCCCCAGGGAGTCTGACACGCACTCAAGCTCCCGCATGGCCATAGGGGTCATGAGAAGAGAAGGTCACTGGACTCCACGGCCTCAAAGCCCTTCCATGAAACTGCTGTCCCTGGCCCTCCATGAGCCAGCAGGGCGAAAATGATCATCCGCCCCACTTCAGAGGTGGGCAGGGCTCAGGGCCACCCAGAGGCCTTCCAGGGTCACACAGCTTGCAGGGGGAAGAATCCAGGCCTAATGGATTGAGGTCTCCTCGGGACAGCGCAATCTTTTTGCTCCTGGGAAGAGGGACTCCAGGCAGCACCACCTCGGCTCCTGCCTGGACCTTGCTGGCACCCCTCGTGGAGTGCATGGCATGGGACTACACCACTGCGACACTGTCCCTCCACTTCCCAGCCCCTCCTTCCACCCACACACATCTAGCTACTACCTCAATGCCTGGGGCTCTCTGGAGGAGGTACCTGTTCCTGCTGCAGGACTGGGCCCTGTGCGCCATGGTCCTTGCACAGATGTCCCATGTGCTCCAGCCCACACCACCCACTCCCCTGGCCCTCACCTGTGTTTCGTTCATTTGATTTATTAACATCTAAGTGGTGGCAGCGTCCAGTCAGTAGGACTGATCCATTCCAGGGTTTAATTCGCTTTTTCCTGATTGGGTCTCCGGTCACTGTCTTTCCGCTCACCAAAATCAATACTTTAACCTTGTGCTTCAAAGTCAGGCCGTCTACAGGGACCAGACCATTCCCCCAGGACTTGCTGCTGCTGCGGAGCGTGGCTGACTCTACTGCAGTGATCTCAGCCTCCATGCCCCAAGACCTCTACCCCCGAGGCCCATGCCCCACCAGGTCCCCTGTCCCCCAGCAGCCTCCTGCCCCCCACAGCCCCTTGTCCCCATCAAACCTCCCCCCACAGTCCCCTGACCTCACCAGACCAGAAGCTACAGGGCCTGTCACCCATCCTCCTTGGGCAGCTGCTAGGGCCTCACATCTAAGCTGCCACATTGCTGCCGGTTCTCGGAGACCAGGGAAGGCACCCTGGCACCAGAGAGCAAGACGCTTGGGAGTCCAGCTCACGTCCCCCAGCTCCCCCACCATGGATAGCCAGGCACCGGGCCCTTAGGCCTCAACCTCCCTATCTTTGTGATGCTGAAAGTGCAGGTACAGGGAGAGCGGGACACAAGGTCACTGCAGTGACATGTGGCCTCTGCCAACCTCGCCCAGCACATGTCATGCAGGACCCAAGACCCTCCATCTCATCCCTCAGCATGGTGCCAACCCCCATGGGCCCCCTGCGGGCAGTTCCACCCCTCCCAGTCACTCTTGCCCCTACAACACCATGACACACATCTCACCTCTCCCAGTGGCTGCACACATTGGGGTCCTCGGGGTTCAGAGCGAAGGCAGCTGGCAGGAGGCAGAAGACAAGCAGCCTGGCTGTGGCGTGCATCATCCTGGCCCATGAGACAGAAGAGGCGTGTCTTCAGGTGGACCAGCCCAGCATCACCGTGGCGCAGCGAGCGTGGGAGGCACACAGGCAGGTCCTCAGGTTCTGAGGAGGAAGGGAACCTCTGTCAGAAAAGCCGAATTCCATGCAGGGTTCTGAGCAGTTCTGAGAACCCAGTGAAGGTTGTAAACATGTGCCCAGAAAAGTGCCGGACTGTGCAGAATTGATCGTCACTCCATGTCTTCAGGGCCCAGTCCATCCGAGGACTCTGCCCCCGCACACCCCCCAGGAGCTCTGCCCATCCAGCTCCTCCCTATGCCCACCTGCCTCGAAGAAAGAGGAGTGTGGTGTGGCCCAGGGCTGGACCCGGACTCTCTCCCCCTCCTGGGAACGTCAGTCATGTACACCCAGTGAGGCAGTCAGCACGCGTCATCCACGGCAAGATGACGGATGTAGACAACCGCGTAAAAGGCTTAAGGAGGCAGCCTGCAGAGCTTGATCCAGGCCTCGGTTGACAGCCTTGGCTAGCGTTAAGTGTGCCCTCCTGGGGCACCCACTCCGTGGGTTCACGAAACCAGGGTTCACAACCAAGAGTTCCTCAGCACGCACAGGACCCTTTCGCAGGAGTGACTAAAATGACCCTGGGGTCCTTGTTCACCCCCGACCCTGACCCTCCAGCCTCAGAGCACTGCCACCTGGGGGTCCCATGGGGGCATAGGGGAGCTGGAACTCACATGCGTCCTCTTGTCACCTGCAGACCCAGTGGTTTTTCATGTTTTCAAGTGTGTGTAGACATGATCGGGAAGTGTTTAAAAGCTTCCCTGCACTCTGAGCGGCTTTGCTTCCTAATCAGTAACTCTATTTGTTAGAGAAAACATGTAAGATATGGGGAAGGGGTCCCCAGCTTGAAGAAGGGTCTCGGATGAGGAGGCACTCACCCACCTGGGCACACACAAGTGCCCATGTTGTATGTACCCCATCTGTGCCAGGGGAACGCCTTTCTCCTGGAAGGTGATACCCACTCCTCCACACCCTGTAATCTCTTTGTTAAACTCTTTCTCAGCAGCTCCTCAAAGATAAACAAATCATCACAAACACCATGTAACTGTGGGGTCCAAACGAGTGATTAATGGGACCCCTCTGTCTGAGACTGAAATCCTCTGACTCAGGGCAGACTCTGCTGACTTCAAAGAAATGTGTCTGAACGTCGGTAGGAGATCAATCTGGCATCCTGCTCAGCTGTGTCCCGGAGATGCAGAGTGTGGCCTGCACCTCCCTACCCACTCGCCTACCCTCCTGTCCTGGGAGATGTGGCAGCACCTCTCAGAGGATTCTGCATGCACTGGGGGCTGGGGAGCCCCAGCGGGCACTGCAGCCCATGCTCCTGGAGGAGAGAGCCCTCCTAGGGCATGCAGCGAGCTATTCAGGGTCAACGTGGCACACATCTTCCCGGGGGTGGGGAGAGCGGATCAGGCACCAAGTAAAAAAAGACACAGTGGCCACAGCACTTAGAAGGCCATCTGCAGAGGACACTGTGTCTTGGCTCTTGCCCTGACACCCTCCGTGGCGGCTCCTGTCACTGCAGCGTTTTCTCATATGAAGCTTAGACTACTAGAAGGTGAGGTCATGACCAAGAAAAGACTGCTCTCTTGCCCCTCTGATCCCACGATGAAAATGGAGGTCACCTGGTCACTGCTGTGGCTGTTAAAATTTCCATGAAAACTCCTTTACTGAGTTGTCAGGTGTGAACTACCAGGACACTGGGGCACAGAACAACTACTAGGAGTCTTGATGAGCACACAGGAGCGGATGTGGATGGGCTGGGGAGCAGGGTATAAGGCCAGCTCCTCCCTGGCGCCCAGGACCACCTGGCCTTGAACTGCAAGTCCCCTGCCTTGCGGCAGGGTGAGATCAGAGGCAGGTCAGCCTGCAGGTAGAGGAGACAGCACCTCTTGGATGCCCCAAGCCTCTGGCTTCTTCTTTGGACCTGGCCTGATCTAAAATCTGCAGACTCAGCACTCAGATCGGCTGGACCCTCTTCTGCGGTCCTCACCCCCAGCCTCACTCACTTGGACCCTAGCTCTATGTGTCCAAATGTCATCAGCTCCAGGAGCAGTTCAGGCCCCCACATCCTCCCCTACAGGTTTGGCACCTGCTGTGTCCCGGGAACACCACACTCATGTGCTGGTAGCCAGAGCCACCAGCCCAGCAACCCAGAGCCTGCATTGACATCCTCCCAACGCTGAAAAAAACATTTCCACTTGTCCCACACATCATCAGGGCCTTGAGGGCACTGAGAAGCCCGCACCACAGGGGGCAACGCAGCCCCATTATCCTTAATGGGTCTCTCTGGGAGGTTGGATCTCAAAGACAGGAACTTACCAGGCGACCCTGGAAAATCAATCCCACCGCGTGATTATTAAGCCGACTCCATCTGGAGTGACAGAGGTTAACATGCCGGGCACCATCTGACTTAGGGCATTAATAATTAAATGAGACTGCCCCTGGCTTCTCTTCAGAGGAAGAGAGCATTGTAAACAGACCCGCGAGCCCCCACGTGCCCAGCTGGGGCAGGTAAGGAACGGAGGCAGCTTGAGTGGAGGCCATCGCTCCCAGTCGTGGGCTTCACACTGATGAGAGGGGTGAGGGACTCACATGCGTCATCAGTCCATGTGGCCATGCACCACAGCCCAAACTCATCACATGTGTCCCTGGAGTGCCACCTACCCAGATGCAGTGCCCATGGGGAGACTTGAGGCAGAGAGTGGCTACGGTGTTGAACGCCCTTGTGGATGGACAGGACTTGAGATGGACAGAAGATGAGAAGGGCTGCAGGCGTGTATGGGGTCTCAGAGGTACCCAACAGCAGGGGGCTTGCCCTGCAGAGCACAGATGGGCAACACGGGCCCCTCTGGGGGTGTTTTCCAAACCTGGGTTCCACAGAACACCATCCATGAAATGCCACCAGATCTTCCTCAGATGGTTTCTAGAGTGCGTATGTGAGGGAGACGTCTATGCCTGTTGCCTCCTCAGTGCTCACAGCGCCACCCAGTACAGCTTAGGCTCTGAGAAGACCCAAAGTAGAAAGACCTGGCTGGTGTTGTCTCACCCAACAACTCCCATGGAGCCTCTGCGGAGATGCCGCTCGGGAGCTTGGGAAACTCTCTCCTCTCTCACAGTTAAGCTGAAGGAAGGCCGTGCCCGGCTGAGTTCCTGGAGTTTATATTCACTATTTGCTTGGACACTCAGGACCTTTTGTGCCTGCTGCAGTATCAGAGGAAATCCACCACTGGGTCTCCTGGGGGACATGGGCATCATGGCCTCTGCTCTGGTCAGTCCGGGTCTGCAGGTCGCACAGGCCATGGAGATGACAGCACCCTTGGGGGGGCCTTACCCCTACCTGGGTCCAGCAGCGCCTAGAGAGTCCAGCACATCTCCCTGGTGGGTGACACCTAGCCAAGATGGATGGACAGCCGGCCTCCACCCTGCAATCTACTGTCACGGTTTCAGGACCCATCTGTGCAAACACCTGCCTCACCTGTTTCGTGGCTGCCATGAGACTCATCGTCCTCACTGTGCCCAAAGCTTGAATGCTGGACCTGGAGCCCACTCTCTGTCCCACTTCCCACCCACCTCTCCCCAGTAAGCTTGTGCTGGCAGCTGCCAGACCCTGCGATGTGGGCCCAGGGGACTCTGGTCTAGTGTGTGTTGGGGAGGCCAAGCCCGGATTTTCAGCCTGCCAGGAGCCAGGGGAGGAAGTACAGGTGCCACATTGGTCCCCCGAGGCTAAGCAGGTAACACACTGTGGAGGTCGCTCCTCTCCTGCGTCTACCTTAGACTTGGCCTCGGCTCTTCTCACTGTGCCCTGGAACTTGCGCCATTTCCTCCCCATGCACCATGCCACAAGGGCATACATCCTCCACCTGCAGTGATCAGGGCCATGACCTGGCACCCACAGGCTTCAAGACACCTTGTTAATGTCTGTCACCTCCACAGCCATGTCCTCCCCAGTCCCAGACCAGCCACACTGCTTGGGTCTGGCCCAACAGAGGACACCAAGGGCCCATCCAAGTAGCAGGTTACCCCGCAGAGGGCATTCCATACTCATCAGCCTCATGACATGGGAATACCCATCTGATGGCAACAATACCACACATCAGGTACCCAGGACCCCTGAGGGTGGTTCAAAGACTCCTACTGGACTACACCCTCAGCACCGAAAATGTCTGCTCCCAAGGATGGTACAAGGCGGGCACTGAACCCCAGGCTGAGCTCAGGCTGCAAGCCGGTACAGACCAGTGCTCCAGGGCCCCAGCAAGATGGTTCGGGAGGTAAACGGCAGGAGTAAATCCCACTCCCACTACAGAACAGGAAGCCCTCACATCCCCAGTGAGGGCAGAGCATCTTTCTTCCAGTTATAGGAGACAGACACCCCTCTAGTTTGCTCTGAATAAAACAAAAAAGCCCAGTGTGCACATCCCAGGAAATGCCAAGGGGACCACCCTGTCCCACCTCCCTCCACCTCCTGCCAGCCTCGCCCACCCTCCCTGGTCCTGATGAAAATTAGGCCCTCCCTTACCAGCCTGATGAAGGTAAGAGAAGCCCGATCAGCCCTGGTTATTAGGAGCCTTGTCCTGCAGTGATGAGTCTCCTGCCTCCAGCAGTCCTGCCAGGGCTGGGTTTACACTGAATGCCTTCTAATCTTCCTGTGCTTAAAGTTTTAAAATAAATCTGTAGCACCTATCTCCAGGAGGACAGCAGATGTTCCCGGCGGTGGCTGCCCTGGGATAAATCTGCTATTGAGTCCCCTCCGAGCTCTCTCCCTGCCCGGAAGCCTCGGGCTGTGAGTCCTGATATGGCGCGTGAGAGCCGCAGTGACCGTTCATCAGGGTCAAGACTGTCCTGTCCCCTGTGCCCGAGCCCTGCAGAGAGCAGGCGGCCCTGACAGGTCAAGCTCAGAGAGATATCACAGCCCACCTGGGCGGGAGGGAACATGGGAGGAACAC